CACAGCCACCCACCCACCCACCCACCCACCCGCCTGTTCCACACAGCCACCCACCCACCCACCCACCCACCCCCCTGTTCCACACAGCCACCCACCCACCCACCCACCCGCCTGTTCCACACAGCCACCCACCCACCCACCCACCGCTTCCCCCGTTCCCCTCCGCCCCTAACCCCTTTGGACCCACCTAGGCCCCCACCCAGCCACCTAGCCACCCACTTACCCCCCCCCCCAACCGGCCGCCAGGTCAGTTTCCTCTGACGGACAGCAAGCGACTTGCCGCCTACCTCATCGACACGGCCATCTCCCGCCTGCCCCCCGGGGGAGAGCAGATCGTGGGGATATTCGATCTGAGGGGGTTTCAGTTTGCGCAAAACGCGGATTTCCAGTTCGCCGCGTTCATGGTGGGGCTGGGTGTTAAGTGCGAGCTGGGTGGTGGGTGGGGTGGGGTAGGGGCAGAAATACTTCTCTCTTCCAAAAATGCTCACTACGCAGGAGCGCTGGGAAAGTAAATTTTACTGTTTTGTGGCACCAGACAGAGTCCTGCAGCTGCAGCAGCAGTAGCAACAGTAGCAGGAGGAGGAGGAGGACGAACGACAGGCATATAGTCCTCCTATAGGCCATATTTCTTACTTCTTGCCAACCCCCCTCCGCCTCTCTCTTGCCCCCTCCTCTCCCTTGCGGGGCCGCCCTCCCCCCGCCCCCCTCCCCCGGCGACTGTCCCGTCCGGCCGCTTCCTCCCGGTGGATGAGTTTAGATTGAGGCCTTTTTCGAGTACTACCCTCGGCGAGTGAGCCAGGTGCTGTTTGTGGAGGCTCCCTGGGTGTTCTTCCCGGCCTGGGAGGTCATCAAGCCGCTCATGAGGAAATACGCGGCACTGGTGGGGGTGGGGATGGGGGGTAGGGAGGGAGGGGAGGGAAGGGGAATGAGGGAGGGATAGGAGGGGAGGGGGAAAAGACGAACCACGAGCGAGTGAAGCTGCTGCCAAGGAAAGGGTGGTGCAGCAGGTGTATCGGGAGGGAAGGCGGGAGGGGAGGGATAGGGAGGACGGCGGGGGAGGGGGAAATTGTTGAGTGAAGAAGGGCTTTTTGAGGGAGGGAGGGAGGATGGGAAAGGGGGAGACATGTTATGGGGTGATAGCTCATTTCGACGACATCTTAGTCGACGTGAGCCAATTGTGGTGATGGGTGAGGGTGGGGTGTGTGTAGGGGGGGGGACCGGTTGCCGACCTTCCGCCCCTTTAACCGCAGCTGTATGGCCCACCTTGGCCGTATCGGTGAGGGAGCGGCTTTCCTCCGAAGCAACCGACTTCCCCATCCCGCCCAGATCCCGGTTGGGCGCTGATGACACCCGGACTACCTGACACCCACACCTCACCCTCACCCCGCCGATTCCCCTCCCCCCGCCCGCCCCGGCGCACCGCACCCCTCGCAGGTTCGCTTTCTCAGTGTTTCGGAGCTCAGGTCGGAGTTCTTCACTCCAGAAGCTCTGCCAGAGGATTTCCGGTAGTTAGGTCGTTAGGTTGGTTAGGGCTGTTTGGTTGGTTGGTAGCTAAGCAGGTCGGGGGGTAGGTAGGTAGGTAGGTAGGTATGGCGATACTGGCGGGGTGGTGGTGGTCAGTGGCGGTGTTTATGGTGGTGATGTGAGGGGGCGGAGGTGGGGGCATGGGCGCCGAGATGTTTGTGAAGTACGATGTACACAGACACATACACGTAAGACGCCAGGTGGAGTGTGGGGACTGGAAAGGGGCCAGCTGTGCGATACTGGCCGACAGACAGACAGACAGACAGAAATGCGAGAGGGTGGTGTTGCAACCTGGTATTTTTGTTGTATTTCATGAGTGGACTAATTGGGGAGCAGCATCAGAGCGAAAGAGAGAGAGAGAGGGAGAGAGGGATTCGGCGGCGAGGTGGCTGTGAATTCACCACTGCGTGTGTGTGTGTGTACGCGTTTCTTTCTGTTTATGGTTTGTTTCTGTCTTATCTGTGTTAAGTAAGTATGTATGTATTTTTTTAATGTCGTAGCAGCGTGGGGAAGAACACCAGGCGATACGAGGCTGCATGGTTATTCTACCAAGACGTGACACATAAAATATATTTATGCTGCTGACTCAAAAGTGCGGTGTCTTGTTGCTCTTTTTTATTTGTTTGGCTGCTTGGTGCTTTGCGCTTTTGTTGTGGTCCGTGCCGGATTCCTTTGATCGGCCGTGCGCAGAGCATTATGTAGCCTAGATAGGCTAGATGGACAGCGAGGGTGGTGGAGAGGCGCCGAAGAGGCGACCACCTTCTTTTTCCCTCCTTCCTTTCTTTCCTTCCCCCCTTGCCTCCCTCTCTCTCATCGGTTTATATCATTTTTTTGTGTTTCCGATTGCCTTTTTTTTAAGAACGCATCGCCGGCGTCCACCACTCCGTTCGTCCGTCCGTCCGTCGCCCAGCATTAATACTGGATGGTGAGATGGCAGCGATGTGTTCGTAAAGTGAAGTAAAGTGAAGCGATGAAAGAGGGACGATGACGACTGGGGAAAGGTACGCTTCCGTGAGGAGGATGAGGAAGACAGAGGCATGGTGCTCGGTTCATGAGGTTGACCCACCACTTCGACATCAACCAATGAATCCATTTTTGTACCTCAAAAGTACTAGTTGTGGGGTAGGGTGGCCCTAGCGAGGTAAGCAGAATCTGATTTGTAGCAGCAGTGCTCTCAGGGCTTCTAGGTACCTGGCTCGTTTCATTCAAACACAGCCTGAAAGAGGGGTGACAGCCTGAAAGAGGGGCGACAGCCTGAAAGAGGGGCGACAGCCTGAAAGAGGGGCGACAGCCTGAAAGAGGGGCGACAGCCCTTAGAGGGGGTGACAGCCTGAAAGAGGGGCGACAGCCCTTAGAGGGGGTGACAGCCTGAAAGAGGGGCGACAGCCTGAAAGAGGGGCGACAGCCCTTAGAGGGGGTGACAGCCTGAAAGCGGGGGACGGGGAGCACTGTGTGCCGTCGCATCCTGGAAGAGGGTACGGAGCACGTTTTCCCCGCTCACCACACACCTCCCAGTCCTTAATACTACGACTTATCTAAGTCCGGAGGACAATCCCAGGAGAATCCTACACACGGGGAAGAGGAGGATATGTTATTTTATCCATGGTGGTCAATTGTCGCCGTGCTGTACGGCACGGCCGTGCAAAACTTGTACAGCTGGTATACGTTCTAAGAATTGACCGCGTAATCCTATACCGGGTCAACGGTCCCATGTCCAGCTGCAGCTAGTAGTTTTGGAATACGGATAAGTGTTGGGAACCTAAGATATGGAGTACTACGGTAGTAAGGTATGCCTGTGTGTGGGGAACCATTATTGTGCACTTCACATTCAGTAGCCTGGGTATTTACAAGTTACAAGTTTCGCGCACACACACACACACACACACGCACACACGCGCGTTCGGGTGTGTCCGTAAAAGCCGGGGGAGGGACCCAAGGACGTTGTATTGGTATTGATGCGGGTACGGGGGAGGCCATCATCATCCTCCCTCGTGCACTTCAGGGTGAAGCGCCTCAGCGCGATGTGCCTGACCTCTACTAGCACCATCACCGCCTAGGGGTTGGGACAGGGCACACATTCGCCGCACGGTTCTTAGGCGAACGGCACGCCGCATCTGATCCGTTCATGTCACTACAATCAGCTTTTTGCCGTGTACGAAATGCACCATTGTCTTGATTACTTGCTGGGTAAGGGGTGGAACCAACAATAAGGGCTGTATTCGTTGGGTTTGCTGCAAAGCATCATAAGATTTTGAGGGGTATAAGGTCCATAAGCGCAGCCAAACTTGTCTGCCTGACGGAGTATGCCGACCCGGTTATTTGCTATGAGACATCGTACCGACACCGTCGCGATGCTGTATTGCACCGTATGGAGGACACGGAACAGACGCACTGGAGGGGAACGGTAGTGTACTAAGCGCACAATACATGAGCAGCCAGCTCGTCGGCCGTAGGGAATCTCTTTCCGAGACGTGCAGATCTGTACTGTTCCAGTTTACGACACGCACTGGACGTTTCGAGTCCACGCTAAATCGCACAATCCAGGGCTGCCCAATCGTTAATCTGATCAGCGATGATTAGCACATCGCCTTGCTTTCGATCTGGCCCTGAATTGTGGGTGGGCCCTCCCGGTGGGCCCTCCCGAACAATTGATACCTACTCAAGCCACATTACGGCTGTCCCCACGCAAATTATCATTATTGGATTATAAGATTAATCCTATCTATTTCTGCTTGCGCGGAGAAATCGACGGAGGGTATGGGCTCTGGCTTGCAAAGACAGACGAGGGGCTCAAGGTGGCGCCGTTATCCTGCGTTGCTTGCTCTGCCGTGGATAAGTGGTGGTGGTGCTTCAGCATAAGGAAACTTTCAGGTTATGTGAGACTATGGCCTCTGTACAGCGGAAATGGTTCATCCTCCGTTTCGTTCCAGGTGTCGTATTCCAGGTGGTCGAGGTCAAACCGTTGTCCTCAGAACAGCCAGGAAACTAGCTGTGAAAGGCTGCCTTTACGTTAAGCACTCAATTACTTTTTAGACTCTGTCAGTTTCGGCGCGAAATTGAAGCCCCGTCGCGCTGCAGACAGCGAACCCTGCTTGCGCCCAATTTGCTACCCTCTGATCTTTATTTTGTAATCAGATATACAAACGTGTCGCGGAATATGTCAACCTACTCAGAGGATTCTGCGAGCTCATTAGACGACTCCGAAGACCTTGACGATATCCCGCTGTCCGTCGCGCCGAATGGGCGATATCCACATGTTGAGCCTCCGTTGACATCTAGAGGGCCACCACAAGGTTTCCCACGGCCTGGGACTGGCTTCAACCTGAAGCTGCCCATCCCGAAGCCCGACGACTTGTCGTCGCCGGGCCCTGACTTGCCGCAACGGCTCCGCTCCGAGCCGGCCTGCCTTCCAGAAACAGCTCGCACAAGGCCGCAGCCGGGGCTATCTCTGCCCATAGGGGTTCCACGCGCCGCGTCAACGTCCTATAATGGTGCCGGGCCCAAGGACGAGCCGACGCCAATCCTGGGCCGGCGCAATTCCCTCAAACCCCCCATGCTCAACCTCGTCAATCCGGCCTCAGCTTCGCCAGTACCCAGCGGCGCACCCACACCCGGACTCAACGAGACAGGGGAGGCACCACCACGCCTCAACGCATGGCCTCCCCCCGACGCCGCAGCGCGCCGCGCGCCGCTGCGCGTTGACCTGGTCTCCTCAGCTTTCGTACTCCAGGGACCTTTCCTCCACGACCACCGTACGGCGGTGACGCCGTCGTTGGCGCCGCCGCCGTTTGTAGGGGCCCCTGCCCCCACCGCCTCTGCCACCGCAGCAGCCCCCGCTGTCTCGTCCTCCTCCTCCTCCTCCGCCATCAGCGAATACATCTTGCAACAGTGCAGCAGTCAACTGGGCATTTCACCTTGCGATCTGGAGTTTTTCGAGTTGCGGCCGCTGGAGGGCGGCATCATTCCGGATTCATGTGCCCGAGTGGGTGTCATGATTCGTGGATCCTGTGAGTGTTTAAAAAAGGGAGGGGGAGGGGTTGACATTTGACACTCGGGGGGGGGGGGAGAAGGACGTGGGTGGGGAGGGGAAAGTGGGGGAAGTGTCGAATGGGGTAAGTGGCAAGTGGAAAGGGGGGGGAGAGAAATAACGAGGGGAAAGCGGTAATGGAAGCGGGCAAGGTGGAAGGAGCGGGAGGGGGAGAGGAGATTGGGAGCGAAAGGCGTTATTAAAGGACCCGAAGAGCAAAGGGGCTTCAGGTGGACGTGTGAAAACACGTGTCTCTCTTCCCCCTTCGCTGCGGAGGCTGAGGGTAGGGAGAGAGATATGACCAGCAATCGCCGAATCTTATGAGGAAGATGCGGGTTGGAGTGGGGAAGGGAGGAGGGAATATAGGGGGGGACATGTCATCTGCCAAGCTCTCCCAATCCGGAGTCGAAAGACGCCGCCCTGGCAGCCACCACACCTTCAGTTGGGTTCGGGACAGGAACAGCGGAGTGGGGCATCTGATGGTCTGAGCATACTTGGCTGCGGGCGAGACAGGGGGAAAACGGGGGAAAGGGAGGAGGGAGAAGGGACGGGGAGGAGGGGGAGGAGGGAGAAGGGACGGGGAGGAGGGGGAAGGGGAAATGGGGGAAAACAAACCCTGGGTGGCCCCTGACACGGTAGTGGCTCTCACCGTAATGAGGGGGTGGTCACTGAAAGCAACCCGAATGGCCTCTCTGCCTCTGGGTGCACATGCGGTTCACGCCTTTCTGTCTGGGTGTCAGGGGGCTTAGGGGGCGCCCGCCCCTTGTCAGGAAAAGACGTAGTGCTGCTGTTGGTGATGGTGATGGTGATGGCCATCATGGCCGTCTAGCCTATCCTGGTTTGAATCCGGGGGGAAAAGGGGAAAGGGAGGAGGGAGGAGGGGTAGTATCATCGTTTGAAATCCGGGAGTATGCTGTTTGACATACTGCGTGGAACGCTTCTCCATCTCCCAGTTTGAATTTTGAGTTGACTGCCGTACAGAGTCCTCTGGGCTGATCCTCAACGGAGTGCAGTACAATCCAGGACAGCCAGAAAGTCTTTATCTTATCTTCATCTTTATCAAAATATAAACCTTATAAACCTTACAATAGTTTTTGGATCGACTAACGACCGATAACAACGACCTTGACGCTTATAATGACCACCTGTTTGATAGGGCGCTCCCCCTTTTGCCTTAACGACAAGTGGGCCTCCCCCCACTGTTGCCGCGTGCCGCCTTGCTTTGTCGTCGTTGCCGCCTTGCCGTATCGTCATCTCCGTCGTCGCCCGTGTCATCATCACCATCATCATCATGGCCGCTGCCGCCGTCGTCCTCCCGGCATCCCGCCATCCCTCACCCGCTCGCGCATATCCTCCTCTTCGGGGTCCTCATACTCATCCTCATATTCTCGCGCGCCTCCTCAACCCTCACATAGCCTTCTCATTGTCCGCATTGGAGGATCTGCTGGCGAGAAGCAAACGAGGTGAGGCATCGCCCATTGGGCCGTGCATGTGTATGTGTACGTGTATGTGGTGTGGAGGGGATGGAGGTGGGGTTGTGTGTGGGGGGTGGGGGAAAGCCGAACCACGAACAACGAGTGAGGAGGTGATGCCAAGGAAAGACTGACGCGCCAGAAGTAAGGGGCGAGGCGTTTCGGGGGGTGAGGTTGTGAGCCGGGGGAGAGGGGTGAGGGGAGAGGGATGTCCATGGGGGCTGTAGGAGTGGACCGCTGGAGGAGGAACGACGGGAGAGACACACCGTTCCGGACACCCTGTCCGGGCCCCCAACACCCAACATCGAACGACCTCTATACTGCTTATATTCATTCAGGGTTGTTGTTGCCGCTGTCGTAGTTGTCGTTGAAGCCGCCAGCCCGCCCCATTCCCCATCCCGCTGTGCGCCGTGTCGGTGATGTCCTCCGTCCGCCTCCGTTGCTACGCCCCACCGAGCGCTGCTACTGCTACTGCTACTGCTACTATATCACCCACGTTCTCAACGTCCTCCAACATTCCAACGCTCCAACCCGTCCCTCCGCCCCCACTCCGGGCCGCTGCCCCTCCCCCGCCCCCTAGNCTAAAACCCGCCCC